GTCCATTATTATATAGTGTTGCCTCGTCCTTTAAAAAACACGCTTCGTATGTAGTAAACTGCAGTAGCAAACGCGTCAACGCATTACTATACAATCTTTGCATGACAACGTCAAAAATTGTGTATTTATATACGTTTCATATGTATACATGCTTATATTCGCTTTGACATTTTAGGCATTTCCGGGCAGGAAACTATAAATTATAACAGTTATAACATGCACTAGCGGGCTGTAACGCAGCCATGCTATGTCAATGACAAATACATGCATAAGCCAGCAGGGTTCTTGTTTTAATCTTGTGCGCACTTTATATAACTGAATGTAGCAATTCATTGCATTATTTAACAATTTTTCAGGGGCGGATTCAGACCGTTGCAACCGTAGCATATGCTACGGTCAGATTTTCCCCGAGATGTATTTTTCCAGGGTGTAGCTTTTTTAAAGTTATTAAAAACTAAAACGTTATACTATTTTTAATTGCATATATTTTCTATTTTTCATTGAAACTTGGTGCAATTTTTTTCAAATTTACTAAATCATATTGATACAATTTCATCGAGTTTTTATTTCATTTTGGATAATTAAATTCGGGTTTTTCTCAAATTTCCGCCCGAAATACTGCCTGTATTTGCGGGTTTTGCACTAGTACTATATCACATCGTCCTGAAGTCGTAGCATTTGCTTCATTCTGATTGGCTTGCTTCGTTTAACCGTAGCAAACCAATCATAGCGCTGTGTTTGGAAATTTTTGCAGTGGTCAGATTGAAACTGACCGTTGCAAAAATTTGCAAATACGGCGTGCTGATTGGTTTGCTACGGTCAGACGAAGCAAGCCAATCAGAATGAGGCAAAATGCTACTGTTTGCAATAGCCGCATCGACTTCAGAGCGATGCTGGCTTGTTATTGTCGTGTCGGCTCCTCGTTGTAATTGAATAGTCGGTAAATTTTAATCGCCGCTCGTTCCAAGGGGAAAGACATGGCTTCTACAGGACTGTATACAGATCCACACCACGATCTTCTGTGTATAATGAACGAATGTAAACGTGTTTCATTTAACGAAAAGGTGCGCGAAAGAATTCTGATCGAAAGCTTTTGGTGTCATAATTTGCGTTTCCCGCGATGTGAACTGTGAAGACAGCGCTGTTTGAATCACCTCCATGTCAGGTCAGTTCATGAATAGTATATTAAATATGTAAATATTTTACACAGTTCATGCGTCTCGAATATATTACCATATATTTGCTGATGAAACGTATTATTATAAAAATGCAGAACAATGTCAATGGCTACTCACACTATTTGATAGCCATTGGCATGCCATGTGTGTTTATATTAAGAAATATGTTAGTTAATCTCCTATATATTTTATATCTTAGACGTTGCTCATGTAATCATGTAATTATTGGTTGTAGACCTGTTGTAGTCTATAAAGACTAGTGAGTAGTGTAAATGAAATTTATAGAAATACTTACACTTCGATATATTAGATATATTATATTGTAGTTTACATGTATACTAACAGAGTTTAGAATTACAACAGCTGAGCCTGCTTCCTGGGATAACGTATCATAAATATATGGTTAGATGTTTCAAATCCATGTATTGTATACCTTACTTGTATTAAAATTCGCG